ATTATTTTATGATTACTTACCAATCAATAAATTTTTATCGTAACCGGAAAAATATTGACAATACAACTATCGAGTTTCGTTGTTGCGATTTTGTAATATATTTAATCGTTTTTTTATGTTTGTTTACTTGTTTCTATGCGGATATACACGGAGGGAATTTGTATTAAATTGTGATCAGAAATCAATATATTTTTGTATAACGGACTTAATATGATTTGGACACAGCAGCTCATTACAAATTGCTACCATGATGGTTACGAACTAAGTGTTATTTTTAATAAGAAATTTGGCATGCCACTGATTTTAATTTGTAGTGATATTTGTCTCGGATGAAATAATTAAAAATAAATTTTGTTTTCGAGGAAATAAAATATCTAAAAAAAATTAAAATAATAAACTGAAATTGTAAGGATATAAAAAAATGTAAAACATGTTATGTTATGTTATAAACAAAACAAGTTTATCCAACACTTATAGTAGAAATAGGTATCAAATCATTTTTACAAAAGTGTTTCTATTTAATTTTTGATTTGATTGTGGGACGTAATAAAATGTCGCTTTGCTTGTATGTCAAACGAATGCTCGTTCATAATTACCATTTTCTCCACTCGTTGCAACATACTATTGTCACGAAGTTAGTTTTTGTTATTTTTAAAGTTTTCTAATATAAAAAATCGTATATTTTTTATTTTAAAAATTGCAATATATCGAAAACGAAGTGTTTTGGAAAACTAGTGAATAGGAAGTTTTTTTCTTATTTTTATAGAAGGAATCTTAACCTATTTTTTTTTCGCAATATTAAGAAATCACCCCATATTTCGTCCTGGACGTTTAATCTTATAATGTACAGTAAAATCTTATCCTATACTCAAATATTTTCATTTATAATAATTATTCTTATTATTTATTATAGGGCTATTATGATAGTTGAGATAAAGTTGATAAAGTACATACATATTATGAGCAACTCTTTTTCGTGTAATTTTGGGTATTTTAACTGCATGCTATTTTCGTTTTATTTTGCCAATGTTATATAATTCAACTATTGCAAATATGCAAGCACATCAGTATAATAGATTGTTAACGCATTGTGCAAAAAGCCTACAAGGTCTCTATTTGAATTTTTGTTACATAGCTTAACCTTTCTATAAGTAATCGCTAGAAAGCTGGTCTAGGATATACGTCTATTTAAGATGATTTATTTATAGATTTTATTGTCCTTTTTAATGCATTTTACGTTGCCTTGATTGTTTTTTGAAAACAAAATACTTCTCTTTTGTGTGGTTTCTTGTTTTTTCATTGAAGAGTTGTTTTGATGATTTTAATTAGGAAAAATATTTACTTAATATAAGCAATAACAAATCTACTTAATGTCAAAATTTTAAGAGTTTTAAAACAAGTAGGTATGTTTAGAAAATATGTAAAAATAAATAATTAATTTAACTCCAAATAAAATAGTATTTTGTTGTATTAATAACTGCAGCATATTTACAAGCTCAATATCGATGATTTTATTTGTGTTTTATAAACTAACTATAGACTAACCTCAATTAAAAAAAATGCAGATAGAACACTATATTTCTCAGGTGACGATTTTACAAATTTAACCTCTTTTTTCGAAATTTATAATAAAATTTACTTGTGACTAAAATGCACAAAACTTAATCCCGTGACTAAAACTAAAGTCAGAGCTTGTAAATGTAGGACTAGATAAAAGTTATTATTAATATGAAAACCTTTTTTTGTCGCCTCCTTTAGTTTTACACATTTCTCAAAGTCAATACGCACCTTTAAGTTATTGCATACCAAAATAATAAACACATTTTTATACCAAAATGTTATTTTTATTTATGTCTAACTTATTTGATTTTTTAATTCATTTTTATTTTAATTAAAAAATCAATTTTAAAATTTATCTAAAAAATAAATCAATCCAATACATTCTTACTGGTTGCATATAGGAAATTAAGGAATTTCCGACACTGTATATTAAATATTTAAATTTTGTGGCAAATAAACCATTTATAGAAATCAAAAGCATTATTTCTTGATATGGTAATACAAACTTTCTATAATCAATTTTGAGAAAAAAAATAAATAATGACCTAAAAATATTTTGAAATTGATATTTTAGAAATGCCTGCAACAAAATTTTTGTTGAACATGGGCTTGCAGATTCATTGTCTCACTGTCTTGTACAATCCTATTAATCTCGGCGCCTTCGCCATTTTTGAAAATAAAAAATAAAAAACGTAATATCTCAAGATTCTCGAGCGGTGGATGAAACAACCATTAATTATATGGTTTTGCTTTTGTTACATAAAACAGGATGGCATGGAAATAACTAACATTCCCTGTTTAATTCGTTCTTATTTTAACTACCAAACGGGTTATTTATGAGCGATTTATTTTTATTGTCCTGAAACAATAAAAAAAACTATCGAGGTGAATGTCGTAAATTATTTAGAGTTTGTCTTAAAAACAATCATAATTAATAATTGAAAACACGAGTCTTTTTAGATTGTTGTTAATTCGTTTTTAATGTTTACAAAAAACCGAAAATAATTTTTAAGTTATTATAGTTTTTTACTTTAATGACAATTGAAATTCGCTTTTGTTTTTGGCTAGACCCTCTATTAAAATCATTAAGTAAAATTAATAAGCCAAATTTGATCTTATTAAAAATGCATTTTCAGTTTTTATCAAGTAGGTACCTACTATAAAAATATTACGATTTTGCTTAATGCTTGATTCTTGTTTATTTTTCATCAAGTAAATATTTAAAATTTGTGTCTGGCATTTTCAATTGTGTTTTTACAATTAGAGAAATATAATATATAGATAAATCTAATGTATTTTGAAATGTTTTTTCTATAATCTTTGGGAATTCCGCATAGACTGGAAAAAACAGTAAGTTTTACTATATTTTATTGCAATTGTTTTTTTTACAAAATTTTCGTAAAATTTTGATAGAATTAAAAGTTATTGTAATAGATTCCTTGGTAAGGATTTTTTTTAAATTAATATATCCATATTAACAATTAATTGCGCAGATTTTTTGTTAGCTGTTAAATTAATTTGCATTAATCTTAATGCTAACGAAAAATCAAACGCAATTAAAAATAACAAATAAATAAAACAAACGCGTATTGTCGACATTAATATAAAAACGTTTGAAATTGTCAGTGGAAAATATTTATGTTATTATAAGGTATGTTTTTATTTTTGATTTGCCGCGTTATACTTTGTTCACAAAGAAAGTAATTTTTTTACAAAATTTTCGTAAAATTTTGATAGAATTAAAAGTTATTGTAATAGATTCCTTGGTAAGGATTTTTTTTAAATTAATATATCCATATTAACAATTAATTGCGCAGATTTTTTGTTAGCTGTTAAATTAATTTGCATTAATCTTAATGCTAACGAAAAATCAAACGCAATTAAAAATAACAAATAAATAAAACAAACGCGTATTGTCGACATTAATATAAAAACGTTTGAAATTGTCAGTGGAAAATATTTATGTTATTATAAGGTATGTTTTTATTTTTGATTTGCCGCGTTATACTTTGTTCACAAAGAAAGTAATTTGGGTGCAATCCAAAATCGCATTTAAATAACGGTGGGAATTTTTTTACTGTAAAAAATTAATGTCAACGTTTTTAAGATTAAAAATATTAAATAATCCATTGATATAAATATAGTTACGTGCTTTAACCGCACATGCCTGTAATGTTTACCATATGTTTTTAAAACAAGCAAAAGGTTTCTTATCTTTTAAATGTTAAAGAGTGAATTTTAAAAACTTTAGACTTAATATTCAAAAAATTGTATCCTGTTAAGTAAAAAACTGGACATTTTGATAACTACGGAAAATGTGACACCCTGTAAACACCTTAATGTTTTTACTGTCAAAAATTAATAATTGCTTTTATATCATACGAGGACAATCGTAATTCTACTTTAAATTTATTACATAGTTTATATTGTGCCAGTTTCCACGCTCGATATAATTTTATTTTAAACTCAGTAATAACTCACGACATACGTCAATTTTTGATCAGCTCATTTCGCCTATGCTCTAATATTTCCAAGAAAATTATCAAAAACATATTTTATTATTTTTACATAGCTAGTCTAGCCAAATCTACAAAATACTTAAAATAATTTTCTAGTGCGCGTGCAACAAAATTGACCCACCTTTCCAGTTCATACTACAAAAACACAAAACTTCTATGTATTGTGAAACATTAAATAAATTTTATTATATTATGCCTTCATATTTTGAAAGACAATTATAAATCAATTAACCAAAGTAATTAAAAAAAACTATAGAAAACAAAATATAACTACAATAAATTATTCGCTTTATCGCGGGTTCCTAATTACGATTAATTTTAGTTTGCCTTTGATTTTTGTAGTTAATAATGCTTAAAATTTAATAACAAATACTTAAATGTTTTTTATTAAAGATTTGTCATAAAATTTTTGATATTTTGTTTGTGATAATTGTACATTATATATCAAGGAGCAACAAGCAGGGAATAATGTCGCCGCCTTTTGTGACAAGATTTTTTTTCACTATTTTTTATGACAAGTGAAACTTTCACTGCCTTTTGTGAGATAACGATAAATAATATTTACGCGTTTTTATACATTCTTGAGCGGAGCATGGGCAAAAATTCAGTCTTACCAACCTAAAGACAATTAAATACGTTAACTCCACGATGTATTTCTCCCACTAGTCTCACAATATACCATTTTTTAAAGATACAATTTATAAATTATATAATAAATGTATGTATATAATAAATTACAACTTCTTACAAGGTCAATATTATTTAAATTAAAGCAATAAAAAAAATAAGCAATCAATAATCGTGTTACATTTAGTTGGGAATTACTAAAACCATTGCGTGATCATAATAAAACAAACACACAGATAAAGACAAAACTAATCACAGCAGTATATTTTGATTAACGTATAATTTTTCTTTCAGATAGTGACAGTTAACAGGGAAGCATTCAATTTTAATTTTTTCGACATCGAAAACGTGATTTAACTTGTGAATAAAGAAAATAAAGATGGGTAAGGCCGACGTAGCCAGCATGCCTTTGCATCACGAAAGCGGTATCCAGATTTGCGTCCCACCTCTATGCAAACCTTTGTATATGTCGCCAACATCAACAAACATCACAAACGGCATTATTATAAATAATAATAATAACAACAAAAATACATCAACAGTGGTGGCGAACGGTGGCAAAGGAGGGGAGACGATTTATTTGCAAATGCCCAGCGAAATGGAAATTTTAGGTAATCAAGTTGCTGGACATATGAATGATGGAAAATGTATTGGTGAGTAAACATATTTTTTGTACCAGATGTTTGTAACAGAATTAAAAATCTAGTATGCATAACAATTTGCTAATTTTTTTTATAGTTTTTAAAATTAAAAATGTTTGTGACATGCGAAAAAATGTTTATTGCAGACTTAACAATTTTGATAACAAGCGCACTTACATGTAAACTATGTGTAACATGTAAGAATGTTTGTAGCGCACCAGCTTAAACCTTTTTTTATTTAATATTAAGTACCGCAAACACGGGTGACTTTGCACCCCGCGGGTGACTTTAACCCATTTATGAAAAATCTTTTCGCGCTCGATAAAATTAACATTTATAATTTGTTGGTCTAAACCTGTAAATTGAGCGATTCTATTGAGTTTATATTACAGGAAAATCAGTGTTTTAAAGAAAGAAATGGGATTTATTACACTTTAAAATTGCATATATCGCATCAGTGCAAAACTCTTAGAAATACACGCGTTACAATTTCTATATTATGCGCATTCCTTTGGAATGATGATCCTTGGTTATCTTCAGGTCGATTTTTTATTTTTTTTTATCGGTAATCCCTTGCAATAGATATATGTCGCTGCTAACACGTGTCTAATAAAAATAAAATATAATATTGAATTCATTTTATACGGAAAATACACTGTGAGACAAAGTAACCCGCAACCAGGGGGTAACTTTGCACACCCAGTTTTAATTTTTTTTTTTTTTGAAACTCAGCCCTATGTAATATTATAACAAAGTTATTATGAAAGAGCAACTCAAGACTCAAATTTTGGTATACAAAATTTAATGTTTATGATTGTTTAAACCACAAAAATTTTAATCTTAAGTTTGAAAGTGAGCTAAAGCCACCCGTGTTTACGATACACAAAGATGGTAGAAACAAAAAAATGCTTGTATCAGTTGTAACCAAATTGACTAGAAGTAAATAATCTTGTTTGTTAATTAGATCGTAATTTGATTGGAAGGGCGACCTTATTTAATTTTAAACTTTGTAAATTTAAATTTCATTCGTAATTATAGAAAGTGCGTCACCTTATGTGCCGGCCTATAAAAATTAATGTTCACCCTGAAGAGCAGCAATATTATTTTATTTGATGTGACAGTTTTATGAGTAAACCTGGTTGACACGATTTTTAAGTCTGCTGAGCTTTGGGTACTTATTTTTTATATCATCATAAATTTTTTAATATTTTTAGTTTTCATTTAAAATGATTCATGATATGACTTGAGTAGTTATAAGTGGTTAAAATAAAGTTGTCTCTAATTGTAAGTATATATAATGTTTATAAACGGTGTTCAGAAACTCCAACCAAAGAAAAGCCTAAACATGCAGGATAATTTTACACCCAATCATACAAAATACAGATTGACTACTAGTATTTCTAAAGATTGTTTGTAACTTTTTTACATTTTTAATGACAAAAACTACAAATTTACAAGAGTTTCTACATACCCTGTATGCCTTTTGTAACCTAAAATTCGTATCACCCTGTAGTCTATATTATAAACAAATCGTTTAATAACTTCCATAAAAAGTTACATGCGTATGTAACTAATTCATACGCACTTAAGAGTGTGTACAGTGTACATAATTTAATGTATAACCGTTTTTAATTGAAATTGCCAATCCATAAATTAAGTTGCGTTAATAACAGTATTAAATAATTGACATACTTGGCTCAACTTTAATTAATAATTTTAGATGCATATACACATGCATACCTATTGCATGAAATCAAATTATTATAATAATATTAATACCAAACCAACGTTTATTTAAATTTGTTTTTGGGTTAATCCTAAACATTTTTTTGTTGTTACCTAATATCGCTGGTTTGGTGCAAGACTATCCATCCATTTTCAAAGAATTGGAGAAAAATACTATTAAACATTTATATTTATTGTAATTAATTTGTTTTTTGCGTCATTCTTGTAAAACCTTCCAATTTTTAAAAGAATGACGCAAAAAAACAATTTAGTTACAATAAATATAAATTTTTAATAAGTAGTGTTTTTTTTCAATTCTTTATAAATGGATTTGGGATAGTCTTGCACCAAACCAGCGATATTGCTTATCTGAAAACTGTCACATCTTTTATTGTTTTTTTTTAAATTAAGGAGAGAATCCTCAAAACTGTGGTTAAACCTAATAGAAGTACCATAATTTTACAAAATTACTAATAAGAACATTAAATGTTTATTGATAAAAATCAGTTTAAAGCAAATTGCATCCCTTAAAAAGTTTTCAAATAAAAATTTTAATTACATACATTTGTTACACGTATATAAAAGTGAAACATTAATGTTTCACTTTTGTGTGCATTTGCAAAAGTTCTTAAAAACAATTATTACTGTAATAGGTGTGTACCAAATATAACTTAAATATAATTTATCAATATTAATTAATTAAATCTAACAAAATATATTCCAAGAAACATTTTACATCACATTTGGATTTACATAATTCGGGTTTTGTTCTTTAAAGCGTACATATCGCTATATAAAAGAGTGAAACTTGTTAACTTTGTGACCTAGAAGAAACAATATTTAATTCTCATTAGGCTGGTAACTATCGGAACACCCTGTACCTACATAAAATTTCCGAACTCAACTAGTATAATTTCGCGGCTTTTTTGATGCTTTTTTATTAATACTAATCTTTATTTTCCCACAATAAATTACATTTATCTCAAGTACCGATAATTTTTTATAAAAGCGCAAAAAAAGAATTTATCAAGTGAAAATACATACTAATTGAACAAAAAATATATAACAAAAATTTAACCAACTATAGTTATAATAACTATATTGCAATAGTAATAACTACATATTTTTACTTTTCAAAGTATTTCTTTTTCTTGATTTTCACCAAAACGATAAATTTTAATACAAACAAACCGTTGTCATTGCAACGTGGTATTTCCACTTATTAATTCAGTACCTGTTACATAGTTACAACAATGCATAATACGTAATACGTAACGTAATATTATATTGTTATTACGTTACGGTTGCAAAGCTTGATATTCTTTAAACTATTTAGTTACAAAATAAAACAAACTATTCTGTATTATACTGTAGAGAGTCTCTACTAGAGACATAGTATTATGTTAAGTATAGTATATATACCCAACTGGCTTTGTCTATTGCTGTATATAGTATATACCCATATAGTATATAATATGTTTTTTAATAAACTAATATTTGTTTAATAAAAATAAGGGAGTTCTGTTAGGTTTTCTAACATTGATATAAATTTTGCAAAATAAATATATTTTTAAATGTCTTATTTTCATTGGTTTTGTGTTGACTTTTTTGTAAGATACTTCAAAACAAATGCAATGACTTTTTTGTAAATGACATTCCATCAATTCGGATAAAAATTGGACAAAAAACAACTAAATAGCTATAAATGAATAAATATTTTTTAAATTCGTTTAAGGTATGATAAAACACAACGACACAGTATTAAAACCGACGGTGGCGAAGGAGTGCCATGAGCGCGAAAACTACTTCTACAGAGAACTAAGCAACACGGTGGACCGATCGATGATACCTCTAAGAGATCTGGTACCGAAGTATCACGGTAACATCACGGTGCCCATCAACGGCAAAGACGTGGAGTGCATCGCACTGGAAGATCTGACCAAAGACTTCAAGGAACCTTGCATTATGGACATCAAAATTGGCAGAAGAACCTGGGATCCCAAAGCCAGCTATCAGAAGATCATGTCTGAGGAGGTAAGTAACCAAATGTGTATTTTATTAAGTGTATTGAGTAGGTACATTATTTTAAATTTATTTCATCCTTAAATAAAAATATCAATTTATATAATTTATCAACTTTGTCTTCAAAGTTTTTGAGAAATTAGGTATATATATATATATATATATATTAGGTATATACCTATAATAACTATAGTTGAACAAATGCGTTTTATTACATCACGTAATATTTTTTCCACAAAACTGCCGTCTTAAAGTTCTCTTCCTCTTTAAAATCCTTTTTAAATTTTTTCAATTTATTTTTTTTTTCCGAGAAATCTAATGACTAAATTTTTTATCAAAAAAATACAAAAAAGGCGTTTTGGGTTAGACTTTCTCAAAAACCTGATATGATAGAAAAATTCTGGATTTGGATTTAGCACGTTAAAAAACTATAGACCTGTGCTAAGCTTTAATGATGCAAATCTTAATATTGATTAAAATGCAGGATTTGATAACGCGTTTCTATTACGGTATTGTTACTCTTATCGTAGCAAAAACGGAAACGGTATGTAAACATATGCCAAATATCTAAATTCAACTATATACTGGTATACCTACCGAAATTGCTGAGAAAATGTTGGTTTGTAGGTATAACATTATAATGTTTTTAATGGAAATAAAACTACTGGTATTGAAAATATCAGGAACAGAATGACACAGAAACGTTTGGTATAGAAACGAAACTACTAGTCTCGTTTAGGGGTTTAAACTTTAAAGTGTCGAAAAAAAAATTGGAAAAATTGGGGAAAAACTGTTTTTTTTTTCAGGCCTTGGAAAAATTGTCTTTTTTGGGAAAAATTGATTTTTTTTTAAATAAACACATTTGAAAAAAAGTAGCAATCAACAACTTAACATTATTTTAAATAAAAAAACCTTTATTACAAAAAAAATAAAACTAAACATTAAAAATTTAAGAAAATAAACGTTAACGTGAAATATACTGTATGTTGGGTTTTTTGTTGCAACTACAAAATAATGAATTATTTATAATTACAAAATTTTAATTTTGTAAATCTAAGGTTTAAATAAACGTTATGTTAATACAGCACTAAATATGTTTTTTTGTGTCCCGGTACAATATTCTTACTGAATTAAAATAAAAAGGAATAATTATTATAATCATAATATTATATGATTATATATAATCAGCGTCGGAAATTCACTTTTTTCTCTATATTAGTGTACGGATACTATCCGTAAAAATTTGGAAATTTTCAGAAAAATTGACTTTTGCATTTTTTCGTACTACCCTTTGAATAAAATTTAAAAAATGAAAAAGTCAATTTTTCTGAAAATTTCACAATTTTTTCGGTTTTTTTTTTCGGAAAAAACGGTTTTTTTCCGCCGGCTCAATTTTTCCGGAAATTTTAAAATCTCGTTTGACGAACAGGTTGGAAACGAAACAAGTATCAAAACATAAGGAACGAAACATTATAGAAACAAAACTAGAAAGGAAACCGACATAAGAAGTGCAAAAAGCCTGGATAGCGTTTATCGAAAAGCGTCAAAAACTTTTTCTGGGGTAAACAAAATTATTTGCAAAATTACTCATTTTTAATGCTACTGAAAAAATTAATAATGATTTGGGAACCCCCCCCCCCAATCCTTTTGAGTAAAGTTCTAAAAGATGATCAACCTTTTGAGCATTATTAAAAATAAGTTCTTTTACAAATAATTTTACTAAGCCCAGAAAAGTTTTTGGCGCTTGGTTCCTTTTCGATGAGCGTCATCCAGCTAACGAAATTAAAAACTTTAAAAACACTCGACAAAAAAGTAACATTTTAGCAACATTTTATTTACAATTGATGAGCCGGACATAAGGTTTTGTTGCAAAGTTGCAGGAACATTGCTGCAGAGATTTTTGTAACATTACACTAACAAATATAACGTTTAGTAACTTTGTAGAAATAATATTTTTCTAGTGGGTTGTAACCCTCTCTTACTTATGCACAACCACTTATTTTTATGGCTTGCTCAAACGTCGTATTTCTCTCTCCCTTACTTATGCACAGCCACTCGTTTCTTACGCCACGAAAACTCAGTAACGCCAAGTTTTAGTTAACCCTATCTGCAAAGAAGTTTCACTACAAAAATGAACACCAGGAGTCTGTTTCCAGTTTCGTTACCCACATATTGTTACTAGACTCATTTCAATACTTTCGTCGTCGCTAGAATATTCAGAGTTTTGATACTTTTCGTTTCCATACCATACGTTTTTATAGTTATTTCTTTACGATTGTTTTTGTTATTTTTAATTTCGGTGTTTTTTAATACTGGTTAGAAACTTTTGTCACCTCCTGTGTTTCGTTTTTTTTGTTAGTGGAAAAAAACTAGAAGAAATGCAGTTTTGTTATTTTGGTAGCAAAACCTGTTAAAAAGCATTTATTTTGAAATTAATCCATTTGTAAAATTTGTGTTTTTCCTTGTTGCAGAAGAAATATATAGACTGCAGAAGAGATTTAGGATTTTGTATACCTGGTTTCCAAGTATACAAAGTTTTTAACGATGAATTGTGCAAATTTGGCAAAGATTATGGGAAACAACTGGACAAAGAATCTGCAATTGATGGTAAGTCACAACTTTTAATTTCTTGACCAAAAAAATAATAATTTTGTTACTTTTGTAGCGATTAAGATGTTTCTGAACGCTGACCAAGGTTTCTGCAGAAGTCTTATAGTACAAATCCTGGCGACTTTATGGAGAATCCAACACTGGGCCAGGAACCAACAAAGACTGAGATTGTATTCATCTTCGATACTTTTAATTTACGACGCGCGACGTTTAAGGGAGTGCATTAAGAAAAACCTGAAATCCACCTTGAAACTGCAACGCAAAAACAGTTTGTACCGACCGATGAGTTTGGCGGTTGGGCTAAACAACGATTCGGAAAGAATTCAGACTGGATTTTCCGGGCAGCTCACCAAAGACGGGCCAATATTAAAATCTTCATCATCGCACAACAAAATCGTCGATTTCAACCTCCCCAACCCGGTGAATGTCAACAACACCTGGCAAAAGTCGATAAAAAGTCTCAAACGTACGCACTCGTTCCAGAATAATTACGACAAAGACGTTCAGAATAGAAAACGTGACTATACATACATGTTGGATGAGCTTTGCTGCGAAAACAAGTCCGAATGTTGGGCGAACGTTAAGATGATCGACTTTTCGCACGTTTATTCGGCGGAAAATTGCGATATCGATAAGAATTACTTGGACGGAATAGAAAATTTAGTCGCCATTTTCGAAGATTTTCTCGTCGAAAGCGAATAAAAGTTATCTGGCTGTGTTATCATCGTATTTTTTTATTTGCCATTTTTATTTTTGACACTGTAATATTTTACTTGATTGATGCTCTCTTTGAGAGGATAGTTGACATTATTTTTTAAATAGAAGTAAATTATTTTTATTATGTGTAATTTGGATACTTAATACATGTATTTTCAATAAAATGGGTTTTATTTTTTATTCAACATTCAAACATTTAAAAGGATTTGGCACCAGGCAAAACTCTCTAAAAAGTCTCACTTGTTCCAAAATAATTACGACAAAGACCTTCAGAATAGAAAACGTGACCTATAAATACATATCGAAAATTTGCTCGCCATATTTGAAATTTTCTCGTCGAAATTTCGCTTGAGCGAATAAAAGTTATTTGGCTGTGTTATCAACCCAGGGCCGGATTTAAGGAGGAATGTTTTGGTTGTATGTAGTAAAAACAAGTTTTTTTTAATTATAAAATTTCATGATAATTTTAAGCCGAAAGAAAACTTATCCTTTTAATTAAAAAAAAATTAAGTAAAAATGACAAATCATAATTAATAAATAAAAGCTTTAAGCTTTTGTATAGACAATCAATTTTTTTATGTTAAAAATAAAAAATATTACACTGTATTAAATGCCCAATTACTTGTCTCTTAACATTTTAAAGAAGGCCCCCATCATCAAACATAAATCCGACACTCCATAAACGTATTTTTTACTCAGTTATTAGATATGGGACCCACACCAAATTTATGAGTTTATAATGACATTAAATAACCAAGTTCCTCGCAAGCAGAATTTAAATTGAAGTTTGCGACAAAAAGATAACTTATAACCCAATAAATGATATAAATTTAATTGGTGCAATTTATTATTTACCATAGTTTATCGACAAATTTCATTTAAAAAATCCAAATTATACAGATTTTATACCATTTTAATTTTTTTAATATTTCATTTCAAAGTAAAAGGTGAAATTTAAAACCGACGGGAAAACCACGGAAACCTCGAGATACCTAACAATACAAAGTAAGAATTGTTTTATTCAAAGTACCTAAAAATAGCTGAGTAGGTATGCAAAACAAAAAACAATTATAATAATAATTATTAACAAAGTATTCAATGATAACCCAAATGTAAATTTTTAATGAAAGTAGATTTTACGAACGTTGTCATAGGTCAGAAACAACCAGTGGCGGCCCAAAATTTCTACTTTACTTATACAAATTTTAATCATTTTTTATTTAAAAAAAAAATGGCACTATAGCAATTATAATGCAAAAATGATGAGGAAAAACTTTCTTATTTTGGCGTATAGGATGACAACTTATTTTTAATAAGTGTAAATATTAAATGTAATAAGTATTATTTTTGGCACAAGAACATTCTAAAATAAAAATATATTCATAAAAAATATTACATCAAAATTAAAATATTTAAAAATTCAATAAGGAATGCATCTTATTATCAATTTGTCTCTTCCATAAACTATAATTTTTATACCATTCATGTTTCTTTGTTGTTTTTGAAAAGTTAATTATCCAATATTTCAAGCTAAAAACAATTAATTATTAATACAAATATAAACATCCACAAAAATGCCCTAAGGAGTGTGAAAAGGATTAAAAAATAAAACCTATTCCGTAAAAATATTCAATTATAATAAATCTCAATAAAAAATTAATAATGTGTAAATCTGTAAATTGTTAAAAAATCTAAAATTTACTTGTTGTACTTATAATAACCCTCTCCAGTCTTAACTCCCAACTTTCCAGCAGCAACCAATTTTTGCTGGGAATCACATGGCTTGAACAGGGGATTATCAGGGAATTTCTTGTGCCAACCCTGAACAATCGAGTTGCTAGTATCATGGCCCACATAATCTGACAGTTCAATTGGTCCCATTGGATATCCTGCACCTAACTTCATTGCTATGTCAATGTCTCTTGCTGAGGCATCACCTAAAATATGTGTAAAATTAATTTCTTCTCAAAAAGTTAAAAGTTTTAACATACCTCTTTCCATCATTCTGATGGCTTCAGCAAGATAAGGCACCAATAACCTGTTTACAACAAATCCAGGGGTATCTTTGCATGTAATGCAAGTTTTACCAATAGCTTTACCCCATGCCATCATTGCTTGATAGGTGTCCTCGGAAGTCTCAGGAATTCTCACAACTTCCAACAACTTCATCACAGCTACAGGGTTAAAAAAATGCAGTCCTCCAAACCTATCTTTTCTCGAAGTAACTGAAGCAATCTCTCCAATGCTTAAAGAGGAAGTATTGGAAGCAAAAATGGTTTTTGCAGGGGCTGCTTCGTCCAAGCTCTTAAACAATTTGTGTTTAATATCCATATTTTCCACGATGGCTTCAATAACTAAATCAGCATCAGAAACCGACTTTGCTGGTTCAGTGGACCCTTTGATTCTTGATTGGGTTTCTTCAAGGAACTTTTTCGCAGCCGCTGCGTCATCTTTGTACATTTTTTTGGCAACTCTACCAACACTATTGACAATACTTCCCTCTGCTTTCTTCAGAATGTCTGCATTTACTTCAACAAGGGTAACATTGTGACCAGTTTGAGCAGCAACCTAGTTTTAAGAAAACAACATTCATATAAAATAAAAGTAAAGCTTTGCCTAAGTGGCAATATTTAATCTACATTAATGTATTATATAATAATTATATAGAATTATAATAATAATAATTATATAATAATTATATAGAATTATAAAACCCCTATGATCTGTTTATGGAATTAACCCATACAGCACAAGATGTCCAATGGACGTCAAATGGACTTACATTGGATGTTTTGATGTACAATGGCCGTCCACTGGACGTCCAATGGATATATGTGCTGTGTGTGAACTAAAAATATGCTTTAGGTACCCCTTAAAACACAGCTGACACAAATTTGCCGTTTACAAAGCCCTTGCATAAAATTTGTTACGCATATTTGTTCAAAAATTTACTAAAAAAAAAAGAATTTGGAAATATGCATTCTTAAAAATAAAAAATAAATAAAAAAGTTGTGCAACATTGTATAAAATTAATTTGACAAATAAAAACATTTTTGAGTATTTTTGAGAGAATTTTTTCCGATACGTGAATCATACCGAAGCCTCGTGGCCCACGAGTCGTGGGTGAGAACCAGGTAACTATTTATTAAGGTTTTATAAGTAGCTCAGGCGGGCTTGGAGTGCCTGAGCACAATAATGCGCGTGGCCTAAACCACTGTGGTTTAACCGTGGTTTAACCACAGTGGCATATAACCTATATGTAATAGACCATCAAATAAGGTTATCTACAAAACAAAAATCTAATAATTTATTGTCACTGACAATTTGTCAGATAAAATCTGACTAGGGTATAATATATAATAGTAATTTTTCCTTACCTGAGCTATTCCTGACCCCATTAATCCACCCCCAATAACCGTAACATTTTTAATTGCATTTCTTGCAGCAGAAGTAGCCAAACCTCTAGTAATAATCTTGAAACTAGCCATAATTAATAAAATAACAATATACTAAGTAAAATCACAAAACAAACTGCAGGATTCGCAGTGCAGACGGGAATTAAAAAGTAAACCAATAACAGGGTCAAAGTACAAAGTTTACCGGCTGAAAGATAAAAAATATCTTTCAATTATTAAAAACAATAGCTCGTCGAGATTAAACTAAAAATTAATGTTTTGATTTGTTTGATGTTGACAAATGTTTTTTTTTAATAATAAACAACAATATGGTTATTACAGAGGTGATGGTTATGGACTTTAATCATTAAAATTTAATCCTGTAAGTTAGGCAACCTTAAATTCCGCTTATGTGATCTTAGTTGCAAACATACAGAATGAATGAATTTTATTCGTGTATGGAACTGTCAACCTTTTTTTATCTCTGACTGTCAAACAATACAACATGGTGTAAACTTCTAAAGATTTTTTAAAATGTTTAAAAAACTACCACCAAAATGGTAAATGTTATGAAAGGAGTGTTAGTTAAATGGTAAGATATTTCAAGTTAGCATCTCTTATTCCTATAATTTTGGTTTTAATATTTTAAACGTAAAATTGTTATTCCAGCGATCAGGCTATGAAACAATTTTTGCTACATCTGGATGAAACCTTAAAACTGGGCAGAAAGTTTATTATCCAAGATTTAGATGAGAACCATTTATTTATTTCTGCAGACATTTTAGATATTTTACAGCAGAAAATTGATGATTTAATGGATCAAATTAGTTTCCCGTTAGCTGAAAAGAATTCATAAATATTCCTCAAACATTTAAGCAGTACAAAAAGGCCTCAAGATGACTATCTCAAAAAGTACACTTCGTGGGTCTAACAGAATCAAAGAAAATGATAAACGTAGGGTTGTGGATGAAACTTCACGTAAAAGAAGGCAACGGAAGGTTATGGAACTTCTTGAGTCTGATAATTATCATGATGACCCCCATGCTGATCTTGTTATGAGCAAAAAAGTACCAAAATTCGAAGATAACCTAGAACAGAGAACAACAAGAACAAAAAAAAAAGAACGTACAGCAGACTATTATCAAAACAAGTTCAGAAAAAACTTCCAACAACTTGTTGAAGAAGACCGTAATGAAGCAGAAGAAAACAATCGAGTTTCTTATATGGATATTAAGTGTGAGGAGTCAACTTTACCGCCAAGACATTTTTGTGCAGTGTGTGGCTTTTTGGGGCAGTATAATTGTTTATCTTGTGGAACTAGGTTTTGTAGTATAAGATGTATGGATACTCATATGGAAACTAGATGCCTTAAATGGGCAGCATAAACTTTTTAAATGGCTTTTTATATAAACTTTTTGTATTAATAAAGATACCTTTTAACCATTGATTAAAGAATTCTTCACTCAAGGTTTTAACCACAGAGTGGTTTTAACTTTGAATAAAAAACCTTATTCAAAGGGTTTTAACAATAAAGCCTGATTTATAGTTTGCTAGCCCTAGAAGATGAACAATATAAAAACCGTTGTGCTGTTTAAAGATTCCCGTACGGAAATCTATAAATTACAGTACGATTTTCGTATTGTTCATCTTTTACGTGAGGAAGGATGGAAGGCAATCTATAAATCAGGCTTAAGACTTTTTACTAAGAGCTTTAAAACTCAATAGATGGCGCTCTGTGGAATGCAAAAAATTACAGCTCCCTTTAATTACTGCGTTCTGAGATTTTATAACTTTAAAAGCAAAAATACGATTAAACAACCGTTTTTCAAATAAATTTTACGGTGAAATATTCCAAAAACTAAAATAATTTTTTAAGGTTTGTTTTGATTTCAATAAAAACAAAGCCGAACATGTGTGAACGCAGTAGTCAACGTCAAAATGAAATATTAGGTTATGTCAAAAAATTTATATGTCGACAAAATTAAACAAACCGTATTTAGTTATAAATAAACGTTATATTTAATAAGTAAACACAAGTTAGGCACGAGATATAACCAAAAATAAGACTAAAATGCAAGAAAACCTAGAAACGGAGCAAAAATTGTTAACAAATGGAGACTCAAAAGAAAAACCGAAAAGTAAAGAGAAAACCTCAGGTTTAATGAAAGTATCGAGTTATTTTTTGGCGTTACGACCGTGGTCGTTAAGCGCAAGTTTAATGCCTACTCTACTGGGCTCAACAATTGCATATAAATACCCAGGTTCGCAAGACTTCAATTACTTGACTCTCCTGCTTACAATGTTCACTGTGGTGTCTGTACATGGGGCCGGAAACGTGGTGAATACGTATTTTGACTTTGTTAAAGGAATAGACAATAGAAAATCTGATGACAGGATTCTGGTGGATCACATTCTATCAAAAGACGAAGTTGTATCGCTGGGAGCATTGCTCTATTTTGCTGGATGCATTGGGTTTATATTGCTGGCAATTTTATCACCCGCCAAAATGGAGCATCTGGCTTTGGTGTACTTTGGAGGACTTTCGTCGAGTTTCTTGTATACAGGAGGTATAGGTTTTAAGTATATAGCATTAGGTGATGTCCTTATTTTAATTATTTTCGGACCTATTTCTGTGTTATTTGCATTTATGTCGCAGACTGGTCATGTAGAGTGGTCCACTATGTATTACGCAATTCCCTTAGCTTTAAATACAGAAGCGATTTTGCATAGTAATAATACAAGAGATTCAAGTGCAGATAAAAAAGTCGGCATTGTTACTTTGGCTATTTTAATAGGTCATACAGCCTCACACGTGTTGTACGCCTTTTTATTATTTACACCATACATTATGTTTTTTGTTGCTTCTCTTAAATACTCAAAATGGTTTGTTTTACCTTTGGTAACCCTTCCTGGTGCTTTTAAAATCGAAAAACAATTCAGATCAAAAGATATACAAAGTGTGCCTAAAAAAACTGCAAAACTGAATTTATTTTTTGGGGTTTTGTACGTTTTGGCATGCAGTTTGGTACCTTCTTTACCATATATAACGAAAAGATAGATATATGAAGGCTTGTTACTAGTACTAATTGTAACTAAATTATTTTTTACTGTTCTAAATAATTTTATACAATTCTCATGATAGCTCATTCACTTTAGCCAATTATTAAAGGAATATGGCAAATATTGGCATTTTTATATTTTTAGATAGGTTTGTTTTACTGGTTTCTACAAGCAGGTTGAAATATTCTTATAATTGTTTTTTGCAAATCTATTTTTTTCTTTTAGTTTAGAGGCAAAATAGTGATAAATACAGGGTTTCACCAAATAAGTTGTCATCTATTATTTTTGCATTAGTGCCATTTTTTGTAATAAAAAAATCATTAAAATTTTTATAAGTAAAGCAGAAATTTTGGACCGCCACTGGTTGTTCCTGACCTATGACAACCCAAAATCTGAATATTTGTGTTATGCAAAAAAGCAATTTTCTGGAATTAACGCAAATCTTCAAATTCGCCACTATGTGAACATAATATGATATATAAAAATTTATATATTTTAGAATTGTCAATTTGTCTTTAAAAATACTTATTAGGTGCAATTTTTTGTACTAGCGTTAAAAGTATTAATTTGATTTTTTTTTGAGGATGTTCTATATTATTATATTGCTGGTTTTTTTACTAAAATGCTTAAATTTTCTTAATTACTTGATTCTAAATAATAATCTCTGGTCAATAGGAAGCAATATATTTGCAAAACAACGACAATAATTAAAATTTTACTTTGTATGAGGCGGCCCAGAAGTAATGAGACGCAGAAAAACAATACCCATTAACGTAAACCAAAATTTAATAAACAGGTACCGTAAACACGGGTGACTTTGCACCCCGCGGGTGACTTTAACCCATTTATGAAAAATCTTTTCGCGCTCGATAAAATTAACATTTATAATTTGTTGGTCTAATCCTGTCAATTGAGCAATTCTATTGAGTTTATATTACAGGAAAATCAGTGTTTTAAAGAAAGAAATGGGATTTATTACACTTTAAAATTGTATATATCGCATCAGTGCAAAACTCTTAGAAATACACGCGTTACAATTTCTATATTATGCGCAGTCCTTTGGAATGATGATCCTTGGTTAACTACAGGTCGATTTTTTATTTTTTTTATCGGTAATCCCTTGCAATAGATATATGTCGCTGCTAACACGTGTCTAATAAAAATAAAATATAATATTGAATTCATTTTATACGGAAAATACACTGAGACAAAGTAACCCGCAACCAGGGGGTAACTTTGCACACCCAGTTTTTAATTTTTATTTTTGAAACTCAGCCCTATTTAATATTATAACATAGTTATTATAAAAGAGCAACTCAAGGCTCAAATTTTGGTATACAAAATTTAATGTTTATGATTGTTAAAACCACAAAAATTTTAAGCTTAAGTTTGAAAGTGAGCTAAAGCCACCCGTGTTTACGGTAGTTAAAATTTTGTTTTTGATTTCTCCAATAATCACAAGAATCACATGGCGGCCCAATCTTATGGCTTTTTTTTTTAATTTTTACATTTTTTTATGTTAATAGTAGCCTACTAGTAGAGGGTGCAATTTACGGCATACCGCACTTTTAGATGACATTATTTTTGGACAATCCTGTATATCTCACAACCTTACACTTTTTTAATGGTAAAATTAATCTATCTACTAAAAATTGCTAATTGTTTAAAACTAAAGTGACTGGGTTATAATAATACTAACACAAGCCAAAAATGTGCTGAAAAGATGTGCAATTAATTTATAATTTGTATCTCAGTGTTCAAAGATATCTTTGCTCATATTTATATAATATAAAAAAATTACACTTAATTCTCTAAATATTCGAACGTATGTATTATGTAACTAATTTATTTATTTTTTACTTATAAAAACAAAAGGATGAAAGGCAGCTTAAATGTTTTTGTAATAGGCCTAAATTCTATTATTGTGTATGTTAATTTTTATCATAGTAAATATTAATTGTGAAATAAATATTTTATATTTATTTTATTTATAAATATATGACTTTATAGTTATTATTATTATTAAAACTACCCTTAAATTAAAAAATATTTTTAAGATTCTTGCAGTATCATTCTGAAGTCTATCTTGTTGTAATTTCCTGAGTTAATATGGGCTCCTTTTAGAAGTCTCCTGTGTTATTTTAAGTTATTATATGTCACATGGACCTTTATTTTAAAAGCGCGCATAATGCTCTGTGCGCATGCCCGCGCCACTTAATTTCAAATTAACTCACGAAATGAACTAAGAAAAATCTTCCTGTGCGAGGTCATATGAAAAAATTACTTTTGTTTTACTTTTATTTCACGTTTTTTTAAATTTTGTTTACTATTTCGTAAAGACTTTAGTTCTAATTACGGTATTTCGTCTAATACTGTACCACTTATAATTTACCAGTATTTAGTATTTATTTTCTAGATATCTTAACGTAAAGACTATAAAAGTATCAAATAAATTAATTAAATTAAACCATTTGTTTGATGAAAAACAATTGGTGTGACGAATGCTTTTGTACAAAAAACAGGCTAATTAGATAATAGATAAAATTCCTAATTAAAATTTTTTTTATAGATTTAAATAATAAATCTTCCACTAGTCTTAAGAAAAATTAAAAGTATATTGATCTTTTACAATTTTTTAATGATATATAAAAAATAGTTATAGTTTTGTTATTCTATATAGTTAGTTATATTGTAATCTTAACATGAGGTTTTAATAACATTCTGAGCTAATCTTTATTATAAAAAAATGTAAAATCTTATGTTAATATTAAGTATAACACCCTTGAGATCACGAACAATAAAATATATCAAGACAATAATTTGAAGTCTGTTAATTACTATATCAGTATATACTAGGAACGATTTTCATAAAAAAAATATTAAAAAAATGCTTTCAATGTTTTTATAAAAATCGTCTTTAGTTGTTCAACTTTTTCAGATTTTATTGAATCTATAGCGCACAATAGAGATGTTTTGTCATAGAAAAACTGCATGAGTAGGTCTGCTTTTAATTGTGACATTTCTTAATTGATCTTATGCGAAAACATACCATTTATGAAATATTGAATAAATAAATTTAGTGTTAAACATGTTTTTCGTTTCAAAATCCTAACAAATACAGGTAAGTAGCTATCTTATACATACATATATACGTTTAGGTTGGTTTAGGTTGATTTGAATTTCAACGCTTTTAAATTCTTTAAAATTTCCAAAATTAAAAAAAAAGCTCGTGTATATTACGCAGCTATACTTGACAGAATGATAATTTAATATGATCTAAACTTGGAACGTAAATGAACATTTGAACGCTTTCAATGAAAGCCTTTCATTAACGAATTTTATGCATTACAGCTTTTTTGTACAGCGTTTATTTCTCTTTAATATTAAATATTTTGCATTATTTTTGGTATATCTGTTGACTTATAAAATTTCAAAGAGCAAAAAAGTTGTTCTCATGTTATTTCCATACAGAACTTACAAAGCAGAATATAATAATAATATAGTTGATAAAGAAGCTTAACACACATGGTTTTATTAATTTAAGTGCCATAAAATGGGGTAATATGACATAACTCATGTCATCACAGAAGTCTTTTCAAAAAAAAATATTTTCCAATTTAAATTTTAAAAATGTTAAAGAGGTAGGTAGATATTATTTGAGTCATAAAAATTTTGTTATATTTACACGGGGCGTGTAAAGACTGACAATAATATTTATTGGGAAAAAATCGTTTACGTCAAAGGTCTATTTTTGTAGACCTTCCATATTTATAAGGGAAGGTTTACGCAAATATCCTATTTATAAGTAGGTATTGATTTCTTATTGTATTAATTTGTGTTTCCACATAATATTTTTCAAGAATATTGAAAATAATTAATTACACGATTACAATGTTGCAATGCATTGTTATTATTAATAATCTTAAGACAAAACGAATATTTAAACACCCAGATGGCACATAATATTTCTGAAACGATTCTTAAATGTGTCTTTGCAACAAATGTAATGTTTCCGCCTCCCAGAAATATTTCTTGGTAATATTTCTGAAATATCTTAAAGAAACATAGATATAACACAAAATTGTAATAAAACTAAAAAATACCTATATAAAATATAAAAAACTATTCTTTAACAGCTGCTGCAGTCCAGATACACATAAAATAAAAAATCAATTCTTCATATTCTAAAGTAATAATGTAGTAATATGAAAGAAACAATGCAATATTTCTGAAAGGTATCTGAAAGATTTTGTGCTATCTGGGCAATATGGCAACTAGGCAATAGTTTTTTTTATAAAGATAACGTAATTTTTCAGCAAAATGTGAGATGTATTTTTTTATCATTAAAAATTACATCTCACATTTATAAATACACCCAATAAAAAAAAGTATTTTTGAATATTTTCAAAAAAATTACAATTTTCTATTAAAATGTTCTGAGATTTTATCTGTTTACAAACTGACAAAATTCCCAATAAAAAAGTATTTTTGAATATTTTCAAAAAAATTACAATTTTCTATTAAAATGTTCTGAGATTTTATCTGTTTACAAACTGACAAAATTCCCTTGACTCTACACCATGTGACATATGTGTTATGTTTAAGTGATATACCAGGTGGCCCTGAAATTTCAGTACAAAATAATACCACATATTCCTGAGACCAATATAATGCGATATTACTAAATTTACCTCTATACAAAAGTTGATAATAATCAAGTTCGAAAACGGTTACTCGCACCTTTTTTACGTAATAAAGATATAAAGTTATATTTTTATTAAAAACGTAAATGCACTAAGGCGCAAAAAAGTTGTAACCATTTAAACATGATTTTTTGGGGGTTTAGAAACAAGCAGTCAAAAATTATCTATGTTTAATCCGGGTACATACTATACAGGGTGTTTCTTAATTGGATGCTAATATATTAGTATACTGAATGAATAAAGTTTCTTCGAGACCTTCCCAAGCAGCATTTTTGGTTCCAAAAACCATTGCCAAAGTGGTGATAACTTTAAATTAGTTAAGTATACTAAACAGCTACTTTAATTTTTACTTAAAAGTAATTCTAACTTTTAAATAGCAATATTTTGTAACAGAAACTTAATTTTTCCTTAAATTGTTACTATAAAGTAATAAACATTTAAGTAAAACTTGGTTGCCCCCAAGAAGACTTTGCAACTTTAAAAAAGATGTTATAAGTAAAAAAAACTTTCAAGTAAATTTAATTTGTAGCAGTTACTTTCGGTTGCTACCTAAAGATTACATTATAATTATTTTTACTTTGTAGTCCCTTTGCAAGTTAAAATCTCGAAACTGGAACATGAGTTAAAAACTACAAAGTTAATAACTTAAAAGTTATTATTTTAGTATTTGGAACGTTTATGGTACTAACCAAAACAACCGTAAAGTGGAAAAAAACTTTAAAGTAGCGAAAACTACTTCAAAGGAAAATGCTTCTTATCGGCCATTTTTTACTGTACAGTACCACGTGGTAATGTAAATAATAAATTATTTTAATTGTTTGTAAATGGTTGTTTACTTTTTAATAAATAGAAATATTGTTGGTAATAGACGGTATTAATAATTAAATAAAAAAAATAATAATAAATATTAAGATTTTTTTATTTATAAACATTACTAAATAAATAATTTGTTTATAATTAAATATTGATGAAGCGCATTTATTTTACAAAAACTAAATTCATAAGTTCAACAGTAAAATTTAAAGGGTTTATAAATCTACCTGTCTAATTAAATATTATATTGTTATTCTGGAAGTTATAAACTACCAGTACATATTTAATAAACGACGACATTGAAAAGCCAAGTCCGTAGTGGTTCCATTTAAAAAAGGAGGGATAGTATAATCTAATATAAGTTTGACAAAGACAGTTAATATAGAAGTAAAAACAAATAATAAAAGTAATTATAACGCTCTAGCAACGATATTGGAACGTTCTAGTAACGTAGCAGCTACGTCCCAAATAGTAGCAGGGTTGGTAGCTAGTGACATATTTGCTACCTTTTTGGAACTCAATAATTGTTCCCCACTTTAGTCGTAACGTAGTAATGAAAGAGTAATATAAAGAGACCGGCGACTGTCGCAAAACACTTTGAAGTTTCTTCAATAGTCCCATATACGTAACAAATACTTAAATTGTTGCTTGGGTTGATTTGACCCTTACCCATAGAGAAGTTTGTTTCTTTATGCCCTTACCAAAATAGACCGGATCCCTCAAAAATATTTTATGTCTCCTTATCGTTAAATGTTCGAAAGTTATTAAACAAAAACTAATTTGTTTTAACTTAAACACAAAAATCCGTACAGTATAATTTTATGAATAAAACCCTATTATTACTTTCCAAAAATTCAATAAAAATTCATTGATGTGGTTTGACGTGGTTTGACTCAGTACTAACTTTCATTGTTTTAAGCCTGGTTCTAACAGAAAAGTAATTTAATTTAAGATGTAATTTAATTTAACTTAAAAGTAAAAAACCTAAGAATTCTTTGTAACGTTCACAAAGTGATTTAATTTAAGACTTAATTTAATAGTTGGCCAACTTTAATCTTTTAAATTAAATTACGTTATTTCAAGGTTATTTTGTACTAATTTAACCTATTTTGGGAGAATCTAATCTATTTTGTGTAAACGGTTTTAATAATAAGAAAAATATTTCGATTGTAATTACCAAAGTAAGCCATATATCTAAAACTAAAAGTTTTAGATACATGAAGTAAGCACTCTCTTTAAAATATTGCTTTTAATTTCAAACACTATTTTTGTTAAATTAAATTACGTTACTTTTTGTATGAACGCAAGTAAATTAAATTAAATTACTTTTAAAGTTAAATTAAATTATATTACGTTATTTCTGTTAGAACCCAGCTTGGAATAAATATTATCATTTTAAAATATTTTTTATTAAAATTGAGAAATTAGTAAAAATATGAAAATATCCAGGAAAATTTCCTAGATTATTCCAACCGTTCATGTTGTAACCTAATTTTAAACCCCTGCGCATTCGCCATTTTTGCAACTTTTCCTATTAAATAAACAAAACCCTTGCATTACGTGGATATCTATAAAAAGTATAAAAAACACCGATACCTAAATACAATGTTTGATCACGTTTACTACAACGTACGCTCCAAATATAAATAAAGCATTTGATTAAAGCACAATTAAAAAATCATGTACGCGTGCAATTTCTTCTTGCTTCGAGATATTTATAGACATTTTCGACACACGCTTCTGAAATGCTTCATGACATTGAAGATAAACAACAAATCTAGGAAAAACAGAAACCAGTGAAATATATCCCCTTATGCAGTTGGTACGTAATATAACACACAAAGATTCATAAGCATCGCATCGCGACTGGCCGAGCATTTGTTGTTGCGCTTTTGTTTGATAAACACGCTTGATCAGTAGTAGTACGCCAGTACAAGATTGTTTTTGAATCCTACAAGTGGTAAAAGCAGTGCGACTTAAGTGATTTTACTTAGTTGAATAGTTAAATAAAAATGTCTTTCCTTAAGAGTATTTGGAAAGCAAACTCTAAACATAAAAGTAAGTAAATTAATTTACTGTAAATATTTAGTTTTCGCAAATTGCAACCTAGTTTTTATTAAGTTATACAAAAATCCTTGGGTGACGATGGTCAAAATGTCAAGCATTGTTTTATAAATTTTTATAATTTATACAGTATGTTAATATTAACTTAGGTACGCTATAATAATTTAAATGGACGCACAACTTTCTTACAATATATTTGACTTCTGATGCAATGCAAATACTTCCCTAATTTTAATATATGGCATATTCTCCACACAACATGTCTTTTAAATATGTTATGGTCATTTAAAGTTTTTCAACATTATACACTTTTTATCAACCCCAGCTCTCTTTAAGAATATTTGTTTCCTTAACAACTTTTATTGTATTTATTTTATTTGTTTATGTAGTATAATTCCAATATTGTATATAAAGAATGCAACTTCTCCAGAAAAAAATACAAAAAGATTTTTGAATGTTAATTATTGACATTTTTATTTATTTTTATCAAGATAATATTTTTACCATGAACGCGAGTCTTGACCTGTGTAATTAATGTTTTGTTATTTTCATAAATTTGTTGAATTTTTAAAATTACATTTTTTTTTCATTTTAAACGTAAACAGAATAAAATTACAATACTAGGAAAAATATGTCAATTTCTAATTTAGTGAAGCTATACAATAATTAATTTATTAATTCCATACAATGGTGCAGAAAATAAGTATTCTTAGCTTAGAGAAATTATATCTAAGTAGTAGATAAGTTTTAACTGAACAATACAATTAATTACGTTATACATTTTTCAAATTTAACATAAATAAATTATACAGTGAGTCCCGAAAATGGCAAACTAAGGTCATGCAACGTAAAATCATTTCAAGTAGAACGGTTTTTTTTAATCGAATATTATTTTAAATTAGGGTAGCCAACAACTTTTTTAAGGAAATTTAGATTCACTGAATAAAAAAATTAAAAATTATTTTGTCCAATCAGCTCTTGCTTTCGTGGTATTATAAAAAACGTTTATTTCTATATTCAAACATTTAAATTCGTATAATATATATGTCGTGCTCACTTTATGTAATCATACATTTCATGGAATGGATGAAACGGATCCGTTTGGTGTATTCTACTTATTTTCTAAAAAATAATGAAACATTTGTTTATTTCTTGAAGGGAAAAAATCATTTTCATGATTAATTTTTATTATTTAAAAAATATTGAATAATAGTATATTATTATACGAGGGATAATGCAGGCTATTATTCGCCAGACGAGAGACTTAAATCATCCGAGTGAATAATGCGCATAATCTCGAGTGTAAAACTATACTTTATCTACTTCAATAAGTAGATAAATAAATGTGAATAATGTATCATTATTTACGAAAAAAAAAATATTATGGAGTAGATAAAAAAAATATATTATACGAGGGTATGCGTAGTATGTAGTGGATAACAAAATATAATTTATAATAATAATTAAAAATTGATTGTTAAATTTAATTATTATTGCTAACTATAGTTAAATTTGGTAATTATGAAACAAATAATATTAGCCATTTATAAAAATATCAATTATTTAACAACATTACTAATTACATGTTACATTACTTAAACATTAATTAACGAATTTATTATTAATTATTTTTATTTAATTTAACATGCAAGGTAGTATTGCTAAATCTTTTAAAATTTAAATAATATTTTTTATATATTTTATATACGTATACATATAAATTATATAAATAAATGTTTCTAACTAAAAATGTAGTATTTACAAAAAACAAAATGCTAATTAAATAGTTAGAAACAAGTTGAATATTGCTGATCTTTTTATTATAATAGTTTGTCAAAAAATGACGTGTCAAAAATGGCAGATGAAAGATGTCAAGAAATGACAGATAGCAAAAACGACGTCGATAGATGTCAAAAATGACAGATTACAAAAATATTAGGTGATAGATGCCAACAAATAACAGATGTCAATTATCACTGTTAATTATTTTTCACAGGTGATTACATATCTAAGTAATTCGTAACATTTTTACTGTTAATAATTATAATTAATTGTTTAAGAAATTAGTAAAATTCTTAAATAATTGCCAACCCTAGTTTTACAATGTTATGTATATTTTTTGGGTACTTGGTCGAATAAAATGTTGTGTGCGACTATTGGTCTAGAAAGTAAATTAATTTATTCTAAAGTGACCTGTAACTACAGTTACCCACACGGGGTTCGAGCCTAAATGCGATAGATGGAACCACTCTTCCTATGTTTGTTTGTTTGTTTAATGTATTTTTATTATTGTACGGCGCGCCGCGGACTTTTGGAATACCTACAAATATCGATGGTTATTTGACAAAACATCGTAAGCGACAAATTTGTTGAATTACTTTTTATTTTATCAAAGTGTCAGTTACGATAAGCTGCACATGTTAACATAATAGTTATCCCAATTTTGGAGTCTAATATTGGTCAGTTTGAATATTTTTATTATTGTAAGCGCCTCTTTTTTTTAATATGTTACTGATTTATAACGTAAGCGCCTATATGTTCCCGACAAATAATCGTAAGCAACTCCGAGACATGGCGTTTGCGATTTAACATTGTGTCGCTTACGATAATATTGTGCTCCCGCCTTGATCTATTAAGGCGTTATTCCCGCTCTAAACAGTTTATTCGTGAGTATACCTGCATCGTGGTGATTGCTACCAAGTTTTAAAACAATATTTTATTTGATCAAAAGCTTATAATTCCTTTTTTTCATTGCATTATTAATAGTTATCCTAATTATAATTGTTTTTACGTAGTGTGGTTCGTTAAAAGGGTTTTTTTGTAGTAATTGTATGTTGTTATAGCGTCAAATAATTTGACTCAAATTTATAACGGTTAGATCATAGTACCATGGGTTAGATCATGGAGCCTACAGTCCGAACATCATGTAAAGTTCCACTTTGAATCTCATAGAATGTGGTTGCTCTATGAAAAAGTTGGTGAAATATAAGTGACTTCTGCACCTGGGGGGGGTTAAAATGGGATTTCCGGAATAAAAATATTCCTGCTGCTCGATAATATTTTTACAAGGGATAAGAGGAATTTAGTAGTAATAAATTTTATGGTTACATAACCTATTTGTGTCCACGTGTTCGTTAGACAACCGTTATCCAATGGTTTTTGATTCTTCTGAAATCATTGGACGTTAAAACTAGTATCTGGTTAATAAGGACGTTTGTCCAGGACCATAAGGGTGGTGCTAAGGCATAAATCCGCCATAGGGCAAAAATAAGAAGAAGAAACATCATGTAAACAAGAATCTTCCTAAGATAAGAGGGCGCTGGTGTTCCGTTTATTCTGAAACATTTGTTTAATTTGTACCGAAACGCTAGCATCGACAATCAGCGCCGCTGGTGGTGAAAAAAAGAAACTTAATTTGTAGAGGGCAGGTTTTGTCAATTTCCCCTATTAAGTTCGGGCTCCTTGTGTAGGCTCCATGGGTTACATACTGGTTTGTGAATAAAAATATTTCGTTTTTTCAAAGAAAGCTAATGTAGAATTTCATTTTCAAACATTGTTTGGCAAAATATCGTCGGTGATATTTTATAAACTAATTTTTTTGTATTTTTTTTTATTTAATAATAAAAGTAAAAAAATAAATGTCGCTAACGATGTTTTGACAAAAATGTAAATGTAACTGTAAATGTAACTTAATTGACAAGAATAATTTTAAATTTTCCTAAAGATGTTCTTATAAAATATCGTATGCCACAAAATTTATTGAAAATTTTAAATTGGATTCGATCTTACTTAAATATTTGGATTCTACATTTATACAATAATGCCTCACCAGTTTTCAGATAAATAACTTTAAAAATAAAGCTCCCACACAAAAAAAATCTCTCCTGTAAAATTTAGGTTTTGTCGCTTACGATGTTTTGTCAAATAACCATCGATATGAAGTCTTTCTATAGGCTTATTGTCATATTGTCATAAAAAACACAATTATGCAAAAATATACAGGGCGTCCCAAAAATAGTGCACGCAATACAATACACACAATGAAATATTACAAAAACTGGCTTTTAAATTATAAATTTAATTTTAATTTAATTATATCTAATAATTATAATTAAGTATTTAAAAAAAATTCTAACAAAATGTTTAAAACTGTTTATAATAACAAAGATATGATAATTTAAAGTTTTTTTCAAGCAAACACCTAACAATCATGTAATATGTTTAGCTCATATCTCTTATTTGATGTGTTTCCATAACAACCGCTAGTAGATGTATATTATTTTATTTTATGCCAAATTTAAACTTAAAAAATACATTTGAGAAAACTTTAAAATGACCTATTCGGGACAAAATACTTTCTTAAAATGATATAGTCAAAAATGACTAATTGTCATAGCGAAAAAGCAGCCACTAATAATTCTAGTCAACAGCAATTTGTATCTCGGACATTAAGCAGTCAATTTATATGTAGAATTGTCCGCTGAATTCGAAAATGCCGTTAAGAGTTATGAAAGTAGAACAGCTTTTAAGATATAGTCAATTTTACATAATAGTATAATATGAAATTGACTATCCCAAAAACTGCTCTACTTTTATAACTTTTGAGGGTATTTTCAGATCAATTTTACATAGGAATTGACTGTTAAATGTTCGGTATAAAAAAAAGATGTGGACTGCAGTTATAAGTGGCTGCTTTTTCGCTATGACAGTTAGTCATTTTTGACTAAGTAATTCATTTTAAGAGAGTAAATAAATAAAATTTAAGATTCGAAAATTGTATACACACATATAATGCAGTAAACTTTTCTGATTACATGGCAACTCAGTACATATCAAGGTATTTTACGGCCAAATTTATTAAATAATCAATAAAAACCAATTAGGTTTTAACAACCTATTCATAAATTCAGGATACGCCAAATTTTGGTTATTTATGCTGATACATTAATTTTGATTAACTCCTACTATTTCTATATATAGCATATATGCCACAA